CGGACTCTGGTTCAAAGACCATGGACCCTTTCAAAGATGGCTGAAGGCGTCTGGTATACGGGGACGTACGTCAACGAGTACTTGGGAATACGAGCTACATCACCACCGTGACTTCGACTTACACAAAGCTGTCCCGAGTTGAAGCCATCACTAGCAGCCAGGGCATCGTCAGGGCCGACTAGTAGGCAGGGCGCGCCCTTCTGGGATGTACCGTCTGAATCTGATGATAGTCAATCGACGATGTATTAGCCATCCGCGGTCCTCACCTTGGCCACAAATAGCGTGCTGGAGAGCTCGTAATACACTTTTGGGTGTGAATGCCTTCAAACTAGCTGCACGCTGTAAGATATCGTCCACCTCCCCAGTCGAGACGAGGGATAAAACAGCGCTACCGTTCCTGAGTGAGAACCTCTCAAGAGAAATGATAATGATCCTTCCCTCACACTCGAACATCTCCAATCTTGCGGAGCTCGTCAGAATGCTGCAGCACCCAGGCGAGAGCAGCAAAAACCGCATCAACAACATCCCACTCTCGAGCGAGCCTCGACCAGAGAGTCTGGCAGACTTCAGGATGCCCTCTACGACTCAGGGGAGCAGCGAAGAGGCTGCGGAGACGATCTTGTGTTTCTCCCAGAGTCCAAGACTGAGTCCCGCCTCGAGTGACATGCCACCACAAGATGGGATCGTGGAATCTAATGAGACTCTCGAACAGTACTAGAAGGGCATCCCCTTCGGCAGGAGGTGGTGTCAACAGGCCAGGTGTATATCTAACAGCAGCATCACAACCAGGCTCGGGTCCATTCCTCACTCCTTCCTTACGTTTTCATCAGCTTTAGTGCTGTCAAATATACGAACGATAGAGGCAGTGACTGTGTCCGGGAGTGCTCTGAGGAGTAGCACGCGACGTAGCAGAAATCCGCCAACGCTGAAGCCGCCATAGAGTCGTTGATAGGCTCTTCCCTGAACGACATGCAGCGTGAGAGATCTTAACTTTCGTCCCAAGTAAAGACATATACATAGACAATCTGTCCATCGTCGAGACATACTAGCATACATTGCGTAGAATCGCATATTGCACGCTATTGATACGGTCTTAGGAAAGAATACGACCAGTCCACACGAAAGCCCCTATTTAGTGCACATCACCCTAGTACGTAATATCAGAGAGCAGACATGAACTCCGACGATCCCGTGGACTTACCCGGCCTCCAGTCGGAGTAGCTCACCCAGCTTCACCATGCACAATACCAAATCATCGTTGTCAGCAGCCAGCTCTCGGCAGCTCCTTGCAAAGAGTGAACCCTCTGTGACCACCGTCGAGAGCTGAATGAGGTACGAGTGCTGCTGTGAGTATGTAGATTTTGAAACTATACCATGAAATATCGACCTAATTTTACATCTCCATATCCATACCACAAATATACTTGTATTATAATGTCTATCCTCAGTGGAAAAATGAGAGCTGTTCACATACGGCAAACCCACGAAAGAACCATGAAGTTCGACGATACTCTCGCACCTCTTCAAGGCGTCTTTGAATCCGCTCAACTTCCCCAGGCTGCTGCTCCGACCCAGTCGATCGACACAGACTTGAGAAATCATCTGGAGCTGTCCTGGCCACTGGAGCTTGTACAGAGGGCAACGTAGTGGCCTCCGACCGGCTGTTTTCGCTCGGAGTCGGTGACATTCAAAGCACTGCAAAAACGGACATCCGTGCATGAGCTCACTATATAGAGAGAACTCAACACCTTCAGTAAAATGCTCATGCCAATTCATCTCGTTCTAGTCCGATTCTCGCGAAATACTCATCCCTTCCCCGATTTGCTCAACCTCCCCAAACACTATGCCCCCCATCCGGATGTACTTACACAGCCTCTGTCCCCGCTCCCTCTTCTTGCGGCATTCCAACTTGGCCTGCCACATCGTAAAGAGTCCATCGATCCCTCTAGATCTCGCCTTAGCAGTTTCCTCGACCATCTCCGCATAAGGCTCTCCCAGCAGCTTCCACTCCGTCAGCTCCCAAGCGGCCTTTGAAGTTACGTCCGGAAGCATCCCAGCCTCTCATGTTTTACCGGAGTACTCCTCCAGGAGAAGGAATAATGGGGGAGGAACCCTCCCCAACGTACCTCAATGCCTGACAGAGAGTTGACAATAGTCCAACCGATGAGACACCACAGACAATATATTCACGACAATGTCGGCCAACAGACTCCCGGGCTCCTCTGTTCATGCGCCCGTTCTTGCGACCCGCAACGGAAGCAAAGCTCAAGGAAAAGCATGTACGATCCAGTGCATCTTCACCGCCCCAAAGCCAGTCACAAACCCAACAAAAGAG